CCGATCCACGAGCCCGATCCTCAGTCCACAAACCTTCACAAAAGGCAGTTTTAACCAAATACTTCCCCTGGGCACTTAAACCGATCCCTTTGGTCCGGGGGTTCACAATCCGTCGCAAGGGTTCCACGCGCGCCCTAGCCCCCGAGGGCCACCCAAGTTTTTCGGCTAAAACTCTCTCATGGTGTCCCTGGACACCACGCTCCAACAAGGAACACACCATGGAGGGGGTGGTGCACAGTAAACTGTGCTCGATGTCCGTATCATCTATCCAATGCAGGGGGTTCACCGCCGACCACCCGATCCTACACAGAGACAGGTGCATCCTACTGATCGGACCACGCGGTTTAGCCCAAGTAAGTCCTTCTCTCTTGACCTCCCTCCACATCGCGCACAGGTCCTTGACCGAAAACTGCGCATGGCTGGGCCTTGTGACGGCGCTCCACACCGCCTGAGCCCAAGCTATGGCTGGGGCAACCGTGCTCCTCCACAGCGGGCCACCAACCAAGGCAACCTTGGCGCGCATAGAAACACCCGCATGCCTTGGGGCCTGAAAAGACAACAAAACTCGTCTCGCTCGCCTGAGTTCGGCATCAGTCATGCCCACAATGGTGTCCCCAAACGTGAGCGCTGGCTTGACGCCAGCCGTGGATATTTTTCCGATTCGGCCACGATCCCTTGGTAAAGCCCGCTGGTATCGCTTCAAAACACGATGTCGCTTGACCATGTCTTGGAAACGCTTGCGCCTCTTGGAGAGATGCCCCCTCCCACCTCGTTTACCCCCAGGGGCCAAATCGCAACCCAAAGACACGACATGCGCACCCACAGCCCCCGCCAGGAGTCCGAGTCGAATCCCGAGGCGACGAGCGGTGTCAGGACCCGAAGCAAACGTCATCAACTTATCTGGCGCTAGCTTCACCCCAAGCTCCTGGGTGAACTTGCTGCGAAGGTCCGCCGCCGCAGAAACCAGCGACTCGATGACAGACTTCTTCGTGCCACATCTGCTGACTGCGTCGTCGTCAATGTACGAGGACAAATCCACACAAAGGCTTCATGACATACACCCGCACAAAAATATCGTTGAAGCACGATCCTGCAGGTGGCCCACTGGTAGCATATGCACTGCAAGGCTGTGGTCTGAACCTAACCTTAAGATCCTAGGGCCGCGCCAAACATTGAAAACCATCTTGATGATAACTGGTCCAAGCCCGACCGCCAGGCTACGATCCTTGGGTCTCTGGAGATCAAAACTTTCATAACACTTGGTGCCATCCCAAGAGAACCCGACTTACCCGCACCAAAGGCCCAACACCTCCTGGGGTGAGTGTCGTTGAAAGGGGCGAGGTGGGGGCGCCTGAACTTCTCCCACAAACGCACAGGGCCGAACAGAGCAAGATCGGGCGAAGACCACCCTTGGGTTTCTCGGGCAGGGGAAACAGCATCCAGTACAAAGCCCGAGGGAACAGCCCCAACTTCTCAGGCGCTTGAAACAGGCAGGCCAGGGCGTCCAACCCTTCATCACAGAGAAAGGCAAAATGCCGCACGTGCACCCCATCAAGGGCCTGAGCCGCGTGCGGCGAGAAGCTCTTGGCCGCGGAACGTATAGCCCCAGGGCTGAGGCGATCGAGGCAGCGCCTGTCAGGCACCTCGACAGGAGGAGGGGAAGAGGACGCATGCCAAAAAGCCCCAAGAACCTCGGCCTCCTTGGCCAGCAAAACACGCGGGTCCGACGTAAAAACCAAGAGATTTCTCGGTAACCGTGGGCCCCCATTTAACCTTAGGGCGGGCGAGGCGGCGCATCTTGCGGGCTGACCCCTGCAAAGCTTCAGCCTGCCATTGATCCCACCCTTTCTTTTCCTTCCCGTCTAAGCCTTCACGAGCCCCCGTGAAGTCCTCCTCCCACCCCGCCAGAAGCTCGGCGAACTGGTCGACCCAGTCAGCTAGGCCGTGAAGGGAGCGCGGCCACACGGCCATCTCCTGACGGGCCTTGGCGACGGTGACACCAGGCCTAGTCGAGAGGCCTTCGGCATCGAAAGGTTGCGCAACAATACCAGCGATGTTGCAAGCCGCTTGGACCTCAGACTGATCCACTAACGCGCCCACCTGAACCACAAGCCTCTGGCCGGTGTTAAGGAGGCCCTTAGCATCCTGCTGCAACCCACCCAACCCAGACACGGACCTCATCTTCCTCAGTTCTCTTAGGGGGCGCCAGAACCGAGGCCCACTGGGCAACCGAAGGGAGGCCTTTCTTTCCCTTCTTACGCACTGGGGTATCTAACTCACTCTCGAGCTCCAGCTCCATGGCATCAGAGAAAGTTTTCCCATCGACGTCCAGCGCGGCCCAAGCAGCACCCACCGCTTGGTCACTGGCGACGAGGTTGGCGTGTTCAGCGTGCCCACGCGCCTCCGTCCAATCGGCACTACGATTACTTGGTCCCACAGGGGGCTCAGTGGGGAGCCTCTGGTGGCTAGCGTACACAAGCTGGTGCAACTTGACAGCCCCAGGCCTGAGATGTAGTTGGACAGGTCGGTGGGGCCTCTTGGCCCATGAGCTGACTACATTGACCGTCTGCACCAACTTGCGGAAGGCCGTGGACGCGAGAAAATAATCAATCTTGGTATTCGCCTGCGGTGTCACGCACGTGGTGGACTCGGGCTGCATAATCGGCAACCCCGCGCGTCGCGGCATACCAGACATCTCAAAACATGATGAGCTGAAGTTCCAATCAGCCCCCCAGCAGTGCTAGGTGCGCTCCCTCCATGATCTGACCTGCCATGCGAATGATATGCAAGTTACGTTGGCGGAGACCATCACCTCTGTAGAGATGCGCACTACCAACCAACAACGGGGGCCACTTGGGAATATCGATCATGGCGAAAACTAGCCTGTGCGCTACTGCAACGCCACGAGGTAAAAAGTCTGGCCACCTTAATCCAACTGTGACTCTGGCGAAGATGGCAACTCCAGCAGACGTCTGCCCCTGAGCACATGCAACGGCAAGTGAGCACAAAAGGTTTCATCACATTGCCTTGGCAGAACTCGCACGCTCCCCGAGTCGCTCTTCGTCGAAGCCAATTTCCTGAGCACAAAACACGAGGGCCTTGGACGACGCTAACCTCTTCTTAAGTGTGCCCCAGCTGTTCCCATTATAGCTTTCAAACACATGGGCCGTATCGATGCCTTCAACGCGGGGGGCCGCTCGTGGCGGACAGCCTACACCATGCTTAGTCAGCTTAAAACCCGCGCATCTAGGCATAAGGTCAAACGCTACCCCTCGCGAGCACACTCCGTTGGGGTCATGAAAACCATCATCTGGCGTTGGCGGCAGAGGCAAGTCATCTGACTTCTGCTCCATGCGCAGGTCATCTGACTGCTGCTCACAGAGCCGCTGCAAAAGAAACCAGAGAGCCTGCATCACTCGATAATCGTAATGCACGAGCCAGTGCCGCGTGAAACAGCAAACCGTCAAAGCTGAGACGTTTTGGGACGCTTCGCTCTGGCCCCCATGATCGCCTCCAGGATAGCCCTCTTGTCGCCCTTGTGCTTCTCCCAGAAGTCATCAGCCGCCTGCTCATCAACGAACATGTCATCGAACTCGTCATCGTCTGCTGGCACTGGCTGGTCCACGTGCGCACCAGCCGCTCCCTCAGGTGGCGCCACAGGCGTCTCAGGACGTCTCAGGACGCCACAGGCGTCTCTCGTGACATGAAGGCGGAACAGCTTTGCGAACTCCTTGGACGGTTCGGAGTCCACCATTGCCTTGATCTCCGCATTGCCATCCAGCAGCTCCTGAGGGACGCCGAAGGTGTCATCTGCAGGCGACTCACCGAATGGCAAGGTAGTAACCAACAGCCGTTGGAGCTCAGCGCATTCCTTATGAATGTTGTCGCGCTTCTGCACCAACTCCATCTTCTCCTTTTGCATATCATCCAACCTCTTGGTGATGTCGGTGACCTCCGACTCCGCCTTGCCCAGACGGGCCTTGCATCTGTTGAGCCTGTGCCCCACATTGTTGTGCTGCGTGAGGTCAGGCTTGCGGGCTTCAATCTGCGCCCTGACGCCTCGGATGTTCTCCTCCAGGATCGCCTTGGCTGCAGATGCCGACTCGCTCTTGCACGCTGCGATGGCCAACTCCAACTGCGCGGCCTCCGCGCGCAGGGGATCCTCCGTCTCCTTCTCATCTCTTGCCGCAGCCGCAGGTCCACCGCCCCCCCCTCCTTGTTGGGCAGAGGCCTTGGCACCACCAGCGACGAACTGCTCCACACGCTTGGTGAGCTCCTGCACCTGCTTCTCCAGCCTCTGCTCACGCTTCGAGCCCGCGGCAGGGGGGCGAGCACCGCCACCAAGGCCGCGAGCAGCACCACCACCATCAGGAAACTGCTGCGCCCGCTTGAGCACCGCCTGGGGGGCGCTGGCGCCGCAGCGGCAGCGCAGGCGGCAAGCCCAGTTCGACGTGAGCCCGCACTGCTGGCAGCCCCAGAAAGGCCTCTTGGGCCCCTGGACCACCGCTCCATCCATGGATGCCTCGCTACGGAGGCTTTGAAGACTGGGGGTTTGAGATACCCCAAAACTGCACAAGCCAAAAAGGCACGCGACAGCGACTGCCGCTCTGAAGACAGCTGTCGCAAGCTCAGACCACCTGAGCCAGAACGGCTAAAAATAAGTTTCTTTGGACACAAGCCCCATGTGCTAAAACGGGACGGCCTCAGCCTGGAATGCTCGCGCAGCCCACAAAGGGTCCTCAGAACATTCCTTGGTGGGCCCATCGGCGGGCGGGGACGCTCCGACAGTGCTTGCATCTCAGGGCCCGGCCGCCGCCGCCCGGGCGGCGCGGCGCCCGCCTCGCCCGTGGCCCGCGACCGCGGCAGCTCGCCGATCTCGACGCCGACGACGACGCCGACGCCGACGACGCCGACGACGACGACGACGACACCGACGACGCCGACGACGACGACGACGACGACGACCTCACCGGCCGTGGCCGGGGCGGCGCGGCGCCCGCCTCGCCCGTGGCCCGGGACCGCGGCAGCTCGTCGATCTGGGACAGCATCGTGGGCGGGGCCTCCGCGGGGGCGCCGGAGCCTGCGCGGCGTCGGGCGGCGCCCCCGGCCGCGGTCGGCGAGGTCGGCGGCGGCGTCGCCGGCGTCTTCGTCGGCGTCGGCGGCGTCGTCGGCGTCCTCGTCGGCGTCAGCGTCGGCGCCGTCGGTGTCGTCGTCGTCGGCGGCGGCGTCGGCGTCGGCGGCGAGGGGGGCGGCACCCGCTGTTCGGAAGGAGCGGGTTGAAGCATGGAGCAGGAAGGCGGTGGAAGTAAACTGGGTTCCGCCTGCGACCCGGAAAGGAAAGGAGAGGAGAGCCCGTCCGACTCTCGAGACAGTAGTGGTCCTGAAGTGGATTGGAACTTGAAGATGCCGCGTCAGCGCATAGCTTACACCACATAGCTTGCACCATATAGCTTGCATCACATTGCTTGTCTCATGTAGATAGCACCCCAAAGCTCACAGCACATAGCTTGATCCATATAGCTGGCACCACAAAGCTTACACCACAGAGCTCGCACATCCTCAGTGCAATACCTTTATGTGCTGGGTCCACGTTGGCAGGAAATTGTGGATTCGACAATAATACCCACACGTATATTCCAACACGGGGGCGCTGCTCGAGAGGTTCCCCGTGGGAGCCGGGGCTGCTGCGCGCTGGGGAGGAAAGAGGCAGGGGGGGGGAGGAGGAGGAAGGCAGGCATCACTGAGGAAGGGTGGGGAGGAAGGAGGAGGGAGGAGGAGGGAGTAGGGGGGGCTGAGCAGGGGAGAACCCTGAGACCCGCCGTCCCGAACAGTCACAGCATCGTAAGGGAACTCGACCGGAGCCCCTGGGCCCCGCCTTCCCGCGCCACTCCTCGAGCCGCACTCGACTCCTGCAGGGCCCCCGGAGGCCTGACACGGGGACACGGGTCGCCCGCCGTGCAGAGACGGAGGCGTCGCCGGGATCTCAGGGAAAGAGGGGGGGGCAGAGGGCGGAGGGAGGAGGACGAAGGAGAGAGTAGAAGAAGAAACAGCTCCATAAACATGTCGCTCCGCGCGGATTTCTTGGAGCTGCGCTGGGCCCCCCAGCGCCCCTAGCGCGCCCAGAGCGGCAGGGAGGGGGGTCCAGCGCAGATCCAAGAAATCCGTGCGGAGCGCCAAAAGTACTTTCTTCTTAAAAAGAGAGGGAGGGCTGAGGGAGCACCCAGGGGAGTTGAAGAGGAGGAGGACGAGGGGAGAGAAAGAGGAGGGAGGATGAAGGGGAGGGGAGGAGGAGGACCCAGGATCTCGGGGAAGAGGAAGAGGGGGAGGGCCGAAGGAGCACCACACCCGCTGGGGCAGCCACCGCATTCGTTCGCGCATCGAAACAACAGATCCAAGCTGAGCGAGGAAGGATGAGGAGGAGCAGGAGGGCGGAGGGAGGGATACTATAGAGTCTTCCAAAGTGAGGTCCAAGAATACGGGGTCGGAAGATCGTGCCGCATCGCCGACCCGTCGCTGCATCGGCGATGTCAGCGATGCCTCGGCGCCGTCGGCGTGGAGAACATCGGGCTGCACGTCGAGCCGCACCGCCGATGCATTGAAGATGCTGCGCGATCCTCCCTCCGACCTCATCTAACCCGATGGGGGGGCAGGAGGAGGGAGAAGAGAAGAAGACGGGGAGCGAGGAAGGAGTAGGAGGAGGGGGCGGTAGCGTCAACATTGACACCGATGCCGCCAGTGCCCAGTGCCCAGTGCCCAGCAGCAGGAGGAGAAAGGGAGGAGTAGGAAGGGAGAAGGAGGAAGAGGAGGAGGAGGAGGAGGAGGAGGAGGACGAGGAGGAGGAGGAGGAGGAGGAGAGAAAGGGGGTGGCAGCGTCAACATTGACACCGATACCGTCAGTGCCCTGTGTCCAGTGCCCAGGAGGAGGGGAGGAGGAGGAGGAGGAGGAGGAGGAGAGGGAGGAGGAGGAGGAGGAGGAGGAGGAGAGGAGGAGAGGAGGAGGAGAGGGAGGAGGAGGAGGAGGAGGAGGAGGAGGAGGAGGAAGATGAGGAGAAGGGAGGAGAGCCAAGCCGGGATGAGCCGAGGGAAAGAAACGAGAAGAACAAAGAACAAATGAGGACTTAGCGTGGGGAAAACGGGTCCTGAGGGAAACGGGTCCTGGGCCCATCCGACTCGGGTGAGCTGGCCCAAAGGCGCTTCACGGTGCATCGGCAGCCGAAGCCGAAGCCAAAGCCGAAGTGCACAGAGACATGGAAAGGGCCCACCCTGCAGGCTTGGTCGACAGCACATCGTTGTGCGGTGGGTGCTGCAGGCCTCCCCTGAGCACAGGCCCCGCCCAAGAGCATCAGCCAGACGAGCCGGGTTTGCACCCTCATGCCTTGCGGGACTCCGGCGCGTCTCAGCACTGGACCCCCTCGTCAGGAGGCGCACGGAGGGGCGCAAGGAGAGCAACAGCGCGAGGCGCGGCCGCCTAGCACGTCGGCCTCCACGGGCGCGACGACGGCCTTCGGCGCGCCTCCGCGGCCGCCAAGGGCGGCCGGCCGTCGGCCGTCGCCGTCGCCGCCGCCGTCCGTCGTCGTCGACGTCGACGTCGTCGTCGTCGACGTCGTCGTCGTCAAAGAGACGGCGACGTCGACGTCGACGTCCTCACCGCCGCCCGCGGCGGCATCGTCGTGCTCAGCTCGGCTACGAATTTTGGGCCACGACACTGCCGCCTCCTCCTCCTCCTCCTCCTCCTCCTCCTCCTCCTCGTCCTCGTCCTCCTCCTCCTCCTCCTCCTCCTCCTCCTCCTCCTCCTCCTCCTCCTCCTACCCCCTCCTCCGCCTCCGAGCATGCTGCGGAGGTACTCTCTACGGTTGGGCCTCAGGGGTCAATCGCACCGGGCGCGCGGGCCTCGCAGCTGGCCGTCGCCGTGACGCCCGCAGACCGTGCAACACAAGGCACTCCCTGATTGTCCCAGGAACGGCCCACTTGGAGCAGGTGGGAAGGCAAAATGATACCCATCAGGGGAAATGTCGACCCTGATGGGCCTGTTTTCCACCACCACCACCATAAGTTGGAGGGGGAGGAGGAGGAGGAGGAGGAGGAGGAGGAGGAGGAGGAGGAGGAGGAGGAGGAGGAGGAGGAGGAGGAGGAGGGACCCCCTCCCCCTCCAACTTATGGTGGTGGTGGTGGAAAACAGGCCGATGAGACCCCTGTCCCAGGCTTGGGGGGACTCTCGAACGGACCGAGCACTCGGGGCCCAGCCCTGGGATATATACGAAGGGGGGGGCGCCCAGCCTCGAGAAAGGGGTGCGTCCGACAAGCCCCCTATAAGGGGGCATCTCCCAGGGCCCCCCTCCTGTTCGTAGCCGCTTCACTTTGGTGGGAGCCTGCGTGCCCCCCCCCCGGGGGCTGTCCGACGGGGGCCATATTTGGACCGGATTCGGAACAAATTCGGACCAGATTCGGACCTTTGGACCAGATTCGCGGGGACTAGAGGAACGAGGAGGAGGGGGAACAGGCGGGGAAAGGAGGAGCAGGAGTATGGGCAAAATGCGGTCCCTGAGCGGCCCAAATGCAGGAAAAGCTGACTTCAGTGTCGCCGCCCAAGGCTCCCATGAACAGACATCGAGCTTCACTGTTCGTCGAAAAGCCAGGGGTTGGGATAGAAACGTCGCCTGCTGATGCCCATATCGCTACCCCGCGGAGCTCTCCTGGGGGGCGCTCTGACCAGGAGTGCGATGCGAGCCCAGCGGCAGCGACGGGGAGCCTCCCATGCACCATCTTATCGGCTCTGGCGGATCGACGCTCGTCGACGCTCAATCGACGCTCAATCGACGCTCGATCGACGCTCAATCGACGCTAACCGACGCTGAATCGGCGCTATCTCACCGACTCCCAGACGCTAGTCGACGCTAATCGACGGGGATCCTCCCACATCAGCCCTCCTGGCCCGACGTGTTGCCGGGGCAGGCACTCCGCACGGCGGGCGCACTGGTCCCCCACAGACTGGCCCACGCGGGCCGCCTCCGAAGAACCCCGCCCCCCGGGGCCGCCCCCGCGCAGCCTGCCGGGAGGACCCGGCGAGGGCCCAAGGCTGCCCTGGCCACCTTCCACCTCTTCCTCTTCAATCCCATCCTCTTCCTCCTCCTTCCCCTCCCTCCTCCTCCTCCTCCTCCTCCTCCTCCTCCTCCTCCTCCTCAACCATTCCCTCCTCCTCAACCATTCCCTCCTCGGACGTACGCCAGAGCATCGCCGCGCGAACGTCGACCCACATCTCACGGAGCAGACGTGTGGACAAGATAGTACAGCTATTGCGTGCCGCACGAGATCTCCAGGACTGCCCTCATAAGAACCCCATCAGGACGGCCCAAAGATCCCAGATGACCTTTCCAAAATGTTACGCAGTCACGAAAGGCTAACATATCCGTACCCGCGACTCCGCGGTCTGGATGCCAGAGCGCGATCCCGCGGATACGCAGTCGCACGCCTACGTTCCGCGGGGGGCATCCACGAAAAAATGGCACGTATCCGCGGTGTGGCGGCCGAGGGGCCCGGCCCGCGAGGTAGCGGATACGAGTATGGTTTTCGCCAACGACAGGGCGCCCGGGAAACCCTCAAGCACACTGGATGCCAATTTCGAACCGCCCGCACAGAATGCAGCATCTTGGTGGTTCGTCGGTTTTTGGCCAGGCTAGCGAAATTCGTCTGGTCTGCCAGTGGACCGAGAGTCCTCAATCCACGTCTCCGGAACATGGCCGGCCCGAACCGTTTGCTCTGTGGCCGCGCTGGGGTCGGGCTACGCGGGTGCGCCGAAGTCCCTCACCACGGCCGCACCCAGGGCCACACGTGTCACAGTAATCCCACAAGCCCTTTAGGCTAAGGTGGTCTGACATCTTGTCATCGCTCGGACGACCATTCCCCGTGCACTTGTTGGTTTCGTGCGTGAATTATTTTGGCCAGGCGATCCTAGATGCTCCTCGATGGTTCTCGCCGAGAAAACATGTCCACGTCCGAGCGATACCTAAACAATGTGTTCCTCTTCCGGCGAACCGCTTCCCTGCCAGGGGGTATTTCGGAACGGGCCGCGAGTCGCCAGAACGTCCGAGATGGGCCAAGATGGCTCCAAGAAGGCGCCCAATGATGCAAGATGGCCATACGACGGTTACACATGCTTTCGGAACCAGTCAGGACCCCCCAAAAAAAACATAATCTTTCAGACCTTAAGGAAAGTGATTGGTGAGTTTTCGCCCTCTCGCTTCCGATGCGTTTCTGGGGACTCAGGTTGAAAATCCCAAGAGAACCCAAGAGGGACCTCAGAGTGGCCCAAGAGGCCCCCTGGACGGCCCCAAGAGCGCCCAAGAGCGGCCAATAGCGGCCAAGAGCGGCCCAAGAGCGCCCCAATAGGGCCCCAAGAAGCGATTGTAACGGCCTGGGGGGGGGGGGGCAACGTTGCATCACCTCCCACTTTGATCGACGTCCTCAACAGGTGGCCCCAAGATGCCATCCAGGGCTCCCATGGGGCCCTCAAGAGGGTTCCGAGAGGCTCCAAGAGGGCCCCAAGACCAGCCAAAACAGCCCCAACAGGACCCCAAGATCCGTGGAAAGAGTCCACAAAATCTCCCTCGTCCGCGTCATTGACCTCATTGTCTTTCGTTGTCTCTTCCTCCTCTTCTTCGTCGTGGTCGTCGTCGTTCTTGATTTTATCCTCCTCCTCCTCCTCCTCCTCCTCCTCCTCCTCCTCCTCCTCCTCTCCTCCTCCTCCTCCCCTCCCCTCCTCCTCCTCCCTCCTCCTCCTCCTCCTCTCCTCTTCCTCCTCCTCCTCCTCCTCCTCTCCTCCTCCTCTCTCCTCCTCCTCCTCCTCCTCCTCCTCCTCCTCCTCCTCCTCCTCCTCCTCCTCCTCCTCCTCCTCCTCCTCCTCCTCCTCCTCCTCCTCCTCCTCCTCCTCCTCCTCCTCGTCCTCCTCCTCCTCTCGTTGCTCACCACCTCACCGCGCGGGCCCGAAGAGGCCATCCAAGGCACCCCCCTTTGCTCCCAGAGATTTCTATGTTTACCCTGGTATCCCGCTTGTTTCACTACACTGGTCTCCTCGTCTTTTTCATGTCCTCTGTCATGGGCTGGGTTTCTACATGGGCTGGTGGGGATTCGTTTGTTCGCGAGCGCGCAGGGGTGCCAGGCGCCGTCGGGAAATTGATAGATAGAGGAAGCCGACATTAACCACTACGTGCGCAGGAACGAGCTACGCGGCGCCTCATATGCGGGCGACCCACAGCACCAGGTCCACGTGCAGCGCCAAAATGGCGAAGAGCAGGATGACGTCGAACTCGAAGACCACCAGGACGCCGAAGAGGGCGATGAACAAGCACGCAGGCGCATGGCGGAAGTGTTCCGGAACGCCAAGAGGGGGATCGTGGGAGCGCCACCAACGAGAACGACGAGCGAGCCTGCAGGCGCTCAACGGAAAAGGTCCGGATCGCAAAAGGAGGGCGGGCGTACGCGGCGACCACGGGCGAGTCGCAAGACCGAGAGCCCAGGGGCACCCCGAGGAACGGGCATGCAGAGTACCTCACCAGGCGCTCAGAGCGGCGCGGAACGGGAAGAAGGTGCAGCCCGGCGAGCAGGGTCGGGGGGGGGGGTCCCGGCGACCTCATGCACAGAGCTAAGGCGGCGGGGAGAACCATGAGAGACAGCGCAGACCGCGGACCCAACTCTGCAGAGCCTGCCTCCGGGGCGTAGGCGGCGGAGTGGTCCTGGTGGCTGCGGGGCGCGCGGAGCGGCACGCGCAGCCCCGGCGACCAAGATCCAGCCGGCCCGGCGGTCTCAAGCGGGAGACGACGGGGGGGCGGAGGGCCGGACGCGGGCAGCCTTCGCAGGCCGCCCGCCCGGCAGTCGCCCATCCCTGCCACGCCTGCGCCCCACGCGCGCGTGCCCGGCGGGCCGCCCAAGCCAGCATGCGCCCTCTTGCACGCCGATTTGGGCCGAGACGGCTTGAACCGAGCTGCTACACGGGCGCTGGTGGGGATACTTTTTGTTGGCGGCGGCCGCGCGACAATGGTCCGGCGGCAACGGGCGTGTCCGGGACGGCGGAACGGGCAAATTCCACGCGAGGCGTGCAATTAGAATTAGAATATGCGAAGGGATGGGGATACGCGTGGGTGGGGATACGCGAAGCGTGAGAAATTAGAATTACTACATGCGGCGGAGCCATGAAGATGCGGCCTTCCAACAAATTCCTCATCATCCTCATCTGCTTCATCCCGTGCTTCCTTCCCTCTCCTCATCGTCATGATACTCCTCCTCCTCTTCCTCTGTCTCCTCCTCCTTCTCCTCCGCCTCACGCTCGTCATCGTACCTTTCCTCTGTATCCTCCTTGTCCGTTCTCCTTCCTCTTCACCCCGACTCCTTCTCCTCACCTGCCACTGCGCTTGTGCGATAGAGGCGTGTCAAAATGTATGTTAGATGTGTGGCAGACCTCCTGTGGATTCTCAATTGTGGCCAATCCCTTCAAATCTATCGTAATAAGAAGGTCCCCCCCGGCTTTGTACCGTGGCGCCGTCTTCTGTCTGGACCCTGGACGGCTCCAAGACTGCCAAAACAAGGCTGCATCGCACATCAACAGCATCCAAAGACGGCCTTGCGAGCGCTACAAGGGATTCCAAATCTCCCAATATGCCCCAATGAGAGACGCCCCAAAAGCACACCAACGAAGGCATTAGAGGCGACACATTGAACAACCGAGGGAAACTGAAAATTGTTTACTCAAGACGATTCCAGTTCGGCAAAGGATCATCTCGGGAAGCCTTCAGCGAGCCTGAAAGAGGGGACCCAAGCGGCCCGAGACAGCCATGAGATAGCTAGCCCCGCACATAACGGTCGAAGACCGCCCTAAGAGAGGTCCGAATGGGGACAAAACCCAATTTAAAAAAAACATCGCGCCCGAGACTGCCCCGAGTCCCGATGGGTCACCCACGGGCTCCCGACGGGGCCCAAGACGAAGCGAAAAAGGCCCCAATGCAGCCTCCAAGAGCAAGGACGAGGGAGAACAAGCCCGATTCAGATAAGGCACCGAACTGGAACGGGTCTCAACCTCCCGACGGGGCCCAAGACGAACCAAAAAAGGCCCGAATGAAGCCTCCAAGAGCAAGGACGAGGGAGAACAAGCCCGATTCAGAGAAGGCACCGAACTGGAACGGGTCGCAAACTCAGCCTCCTTCCCACCGCTCTTCTTCGCTGGCGCGGAGGCGCTTGCTGCAGGCCGCTGGACTTCCTCTCCCAGTCCCTCCCCCTCCTCCTCCAAGTCAATCCCACTCCTCCTCCAAGTCCTCCCAGTCCTCCCAGTCAATCCCCCTCCTCCTCCAAGTCCTCCTCGAAACTTCTCTTCCACACGCACTCACACTCCTCAGCACTGTCGCGGACACGTCCGGCAGCGCAGAGTTACAGATCCAGCGACTCCTCCTGGCAAGACTCACGGCGGTGTCACAGAAGGCCGTGGAGCCGAACCTGGCCGAACGGACTGCCCGGAAAGCGTGCGCAGCAGCTTTCCCCGGCTCCAGGCGGCGGACAGCCCACGTCCCATGCTTGGTCGGAGGACACCACTCTGGTGGGCTTGTTTTCCACCACCACCATCAGTAGGAGGGGGAGGGGGTCCTCCTCCTCCTCCTCCTCCTCCTCCTCCTCCTCCTCCTCCTCTTCGTCCTCCTCCTCCTCATCATCCACTCCTTTCCCCCTCAAACTTTGGTGGTGGTGGTGGTGCAAAACAGGCCCATGACACTCGGGGGAAAGAAACGTGTTATACCATGCTGCTCGCCCTGCGGGAGAGGGCTGCGAGCCGCGCGAGGACTCCCCCGGCGCCCGCCCCCGCCCCCCTCTCGAGCGGGACCCCATCCCGGTGGCAGGCCCCGGGATCTCACCAGCAGCTGAACGTGGAGTAGGGCGTGGACTCGCCGAACCCGGTGGTCGGGCCGCTGTAGAGGCGGCGGTCCCACGGGTGGAACTGCAGCAGCTCCTGCTCCTCCTGCATCTGGAACTTGGCCTCCTCGATGAAGGGCGCCATGTACGGGACCATCGGGTCGTAGTTCTGCTCCTCCAGGGGCAGGTGGTTCTTCTTCGCGTTCATCTCGAAGGCGCGCATCATGCGGCGGTACCTGGAGGAAAAACACGAAAGATGCATCAGTACAGACTCTCGGAAGTCGGTGCGGATTTCTCGTGCCCGCGCAGGGCCCCCCTCCCTGGCGCGGCGGAGCGGGCCAGCGGCGGCGCCGGAGGCGCTGCCGCGAGGGTGCAGCGCCGATCCAAGAACCCGTGCGGGGCTCGGAAAATGAATGTTCACCCAAGTTCTCTTCATCCAGCCGCGGCGCCGAGGGCATCCCAGGAGGCAAAAGAAGTGAAAGCGAGGCAAGGGTAGCGGTATCGATACCTTTTCCCCTCTGAGTGTTTGTTTGGGGCATGGCCCGAATTTGTTTCTAGCGGGGTAAACTGGACTGGACTGGACTGGACTGGGCTGGACTGCAGTGAACTGAACTGAACTGAACTGAACTGACTGGTCGCACTCGTTACGAGACGATTTTATGATCGGCGGCAGAGGGCGCAACCTATGGCGCAACCGATAGGGGACGGTTTTATTCTCGGCGGCCGAGGGCGCAACCTATGGCGCAACCGATAGGGGGCGGTTGTACTCTCTGCCGCAGAGGGCGGGCGCAACCTATGGTGCAACCGATAGGAGACGGTTGTGTTCTCGGCTGCCGAGGGCGCAACCTATGGCGCAAACGATAGGGGACGCTTGTATTCTGAGAGGTCGAGAGCGCAACCTTGGGGGCAACCGATAGCGGACGGTGTTATTCTCGGCGGCCGAGGGCGCAACCTGTGTGTGTGCCCCTGGTAGGAGCAGGACGCCGTCAACGCACTCACCGTGCTGGGGGCCCGCGAGCAGTACGAGGACGAAGCGCGGGCATCCAAATGCGTGCGGGGCTACGCCCGATGTATGCTCGCCGTTGGGGCTGGCGGTGGGGCCCAAGCGGCGAGCTGTCTTCTGATGAATTATGTACTTGTGTTTATGTTCTTCTTTGAGTTTGTCTGTGTTTGTATTTGCTTCGTTGTATTACTGTGTTTTGTGTGTTTGTTGCATGTTTATTTGATGGTCTGTATGTGTATCTGTGTTTCCCCCCTTTTCCTCCCCTGGGTGCCTGCCGACGGCCAGGTCGTGGGGGAGCAGCTCGATGGCCCTCTCCACCACGGGCTCGTGGGTGTTGTGCTGGTCGTCGAACATGAGCCCGTAGCCGCGCAGGTCGGCGACGTTGTGCTCGTACTGGTAGCGCTCGTAGGGGCCCTTGACGAAGCGGAACCAGAGCGGGTACCTCGCGGAGGCCCTCTGGAGGCCCCAGCAGAGGCTCCCGCATGGGGCCGGGAGCAAAACATATCGCATAGCGTAGGGCGTGCACAGAGCAGCATGTAGCAAAGCAGACAGACCAAGAGCCGAGCACCACCGGAACCACCACCGGACCTCTCCCAGTGGGGAGCCACTCCCCAGGGGGGGCAAAGAACCAGGGGGGGAGCCCAGCGGTGCCGATGCCGCCACTCCCCCGGGGCCTCTCCCGCGGGGCGCGCTCGGAGCAGGATGGCGGAGCGGCTCCCGCGGTGGCGACGGGGGGCCTCCCTGGAGGCCCAAAATGAAGGCGGAAACTGAAGAAGGGGCCACGGTAGAGGTACGCCAGAGTTCGTAATAAAAGGGAGGGGTCTGGACCCTCCAAGACAAGCCATTTCAGACCTCCCCCGTGGGAGAACCCTCCAAAACATCGTCCCCAGACCCCACCAGGCCCTCCAAGAAAGATAGCCTGGAAGAGACCCCGCCCGAAATGAGACCCCCCTCCCTTTATTACGAAATCTGGAGTACCTGGTCCTCCTCCGAAAAGAACAAAAAAAAACGGCACAAACCTCTGCTCGCGCAGCTCCGCACAGATTCCTCGGATCGGCGCTGCCAGCGGAACTCCAGGGACTCCAGCGCGGATCCCAGAGATCCGCGCGGAGCTCCGAAAATTGGCGTTTCTGCCGTTTGGGCCAGCTTTCTCTTCACAACAGCGTCCGTGACTGCCCCCCCGCCCTCCCCACTCCCCCTGCACACGTCACGATTCGCGCTGGCCTGGCGCCGTCTGAGGAGTAGCCACTCCTAAGCGTTCCCAGACGGCGCCGGCCTGAGCCGTGGCGTGACCAGCACCCTCCCCCCCCCCCCAGGTCACGCACGTTATCGCCGAGGGATGCCAAAATTGTCCCCTTGTCTTCGTTGACCAGTAGCCTCGGGAGGCCTCCAGGGGCTCCTGGGGGCCTCCACGAGCCCATGAACGGTGGATTGAGAAGGCCTCGGATCGGCGATCTCCCTCGGGGGGTACAGGTTGTCCTTGAACCAGCCCTCCAGGGGGCTGAGCTGCTGCTCCTGGGATGCACAAGGACATTCGGCGGCGGACAAACCTCCCTTTAGCATACCTCCCCTTCGTGAAAACGGCCTGGGACCGAAACCGACGGACCCGGACCCGCAAACATGACGGCCGCGACGCCCTCTCGCGCACCGAGAACGGCCAATTCCTGAATCGACGCGTCAGGGCAGGAGGTCTGTCCACCCCCGAGACAGACTAGGCGCCATGCGTCCTCCCGGGCGGCGCGCGCCCGGCCCGAGCACGCAGTGCCAAACCTACGACAGCAGGTCGTCCCCCGCGCGGCATGGCCAGAAAGCGGCAGCCACCGAGCACATACGAAGCATCAGACTTCTCGGCACGCGCGCGCGCGTCCGCTTTTGGGGGGCGACGCACACGCAGTGCAGCACGTGTGGGTGGCGCCGAGAGCGCTCCCGACTGCCTACCAGATCCCCCCAACCCAACCCGAAGACCCGAAACCCCAACCCAACCCAACCCCACCTGACTACCCACCAGATGCCCCGAATTCGACCCGAATTTCGGGTTGGGGGGGGGTACGGGTTCCAGGTGTTGCTTCAACGTTCCCCGACCCCCCCCCCCACTGGAAATGGAAGGCAAATGGAGGGCTTCGGGTTGGGTTGTCGGGGATGGACAGACCCCCCTTTAGTAAAACGTGGTATAGTGAAAACGACCTGAGGCCCAAACCTGGCGGACGCAAGCCTGGAAAATAACGGCCACGGCGCCATCTCGAGAACCGAACACGGACAATTCACTAATCGACGTGTCACTGTTGGGGGTTCTGTCCACCCCCTGGGTTGGGGTGGTTTGGTGGGCGGTGAGCTCCTGCTGGTACCAGGGGACCACGGCGCGCTGGGCGCTCATGGTCTTCACCAGCTGCTTCGACAGCGCGCGGTAGAACGACATGGCGGCGGATCCCCCCGCTCCGGCGGTCCCTGGGCTGCGGCGTGGGCCCGCGTGAGCCCCCAAGCGAAAGCTCCGTCGGGCCCCTCGGGCCAGAGTGCCTGCGGGGGGGGAGGGGGAGGAGGAGGAGGAGGAGGAGGAGGAGGAGGAGGAGGAGGAGGAGGAGGAGGAGGAGGAGGAGGATGAGGATGAGGAGG